TTCACTTACGTGCTAATACACTTGGGAAAGGTATGAATCCTATTCTTCTCCCCCAGCTATGAGTAAATAGCAGGGCAGACCTGGTGCTATAGACTTGGATGGCAACTGGTCTACCACAGAGAGAAATGGCGACCTATTGCGGGAAAAAAAAATCTGTAACGTGAGTCATGTATCACATAACTGATTGATGTTATTCCAGGAGACATCGTGGTATGTTGTTAGTTGTAGTAAGAATGTGATTATTATCGAATGTTTGAGTATATGATTGTGACAAGCTAAGTTAATCATAGCCATTACTTTGTCCAATATTTAATTCATTTTTAAAGATGGGTGTGTGATTTATTTTGTTCTCCTAGTGTAAAGAGGCGACACACAGACAAAATTTAGCCTTACACGAATTTATACAAGGTGATTGTGAATGTTTTCCTTTCCAAAACCTTCGGATATGCTATTCAGTCTCAAGGCAGAAAGGCTAATGTGTTTCCCAGAGTCGTATAAATCCCCTATTTGTTCATATATATAAACAACTCAATTATAAACAAAATACTCCGCAAATAAAATGTTTTTTTGTTTTTGTTTTTTTAATTTGTTATTTTATGACAAGGATTTTCACGGATTTGCGTACAAGAATAAATATTTATTTTTTACAGAGATTTTATTAATCAGAATTAAGCATGTTTGGGTTTTCTAAATAAATATTTTTTTTCAAGGAGGCAGATACAGATTTTCGACATGTAAATATACTAAGAACATCGAATTTGAGTTAAAAAGATTACATTGGATTTAAAATAGCTACTAAGAAGAATAAAACAAAAAAAAGAAGAATCGATTACCGCATATCATTCAAAAGAGTTGATCATTAAATCAAAAATCGATTTAAAGTATTTTTTTCTAATTTTATTCTCTTGTCCTCATCTGCTGTGCGCCATTGTATCGATTTTAGAATATTTGCCCATCAATCAGTAATCCTTAACGTCTCAATCGATTTATTGATCCGACAATAGGCTTGTCCAATTAAATCGAAACTTTATTTATTTCTTGATTTTATATTCAATGTAACGGGTATTTATTTTTGAACCGTCATACATAAACACACACACACACAAGCACACACACACACAAGCTTATATATATATATATATATATATATATATATATATATATATATATATATATGTGTGTGTGTGTGTGTGTATATATATATATATATATATATATATATATCCGAATACAGGGTTGGTATATATATATATATATATATATATATATATATATATATATATATATACACATACATACATACATACATATATATATATATATATATATATATATATATATATATATATATATATATATATATATATATATTGAGCAATAAAAAATATTAAAAAATTAAAATCTTGAGACACACTGGGTTGTAGATTAATATTCTTTCGTTTTTTTTTTTTATTATTGTTTCATTTAGATACCTCGACTAGTTTCGGCCAAAATGGCCATCATCAGGAGAAGAAATATTTCTGCTTGCTGATAGCAGTAAACTATAGAAATGAATGTCTTGATGGAGAAAATGAACTTTTGTCTGTAGTTTTCATTTGTTTTATTTTTTTATTTTTTAACGTGAATCTTTTAACATTCCTTGTGTTGGTCAAATAGTCTCTTTTAAGTTGTTATTTGTGATAAGAGCTGGATGGATCTATGCTTCTCTGAATTCCCTTGGTCAGTTTGACAGTTTTGTTGGTCCTGGAGAGGGGATGTGTATATACATAGTTTTTATCAGTCCTCGTATATATATATATATATATATATATATATATACGAGGACTGGTAAAAACTATGTTGGTACCGGTGGTATAAAAATAAAAATATAACACATATCAATTCGGCATATAATCTCCTTCTAAGTAATCCCCATTGGAAGCCACATATAATCAGTGTTGTTTCAATTGATGGAAACATAGGAAGAAGAGAAGTCGCAAGGGAGCATCACCTGGTAATATGGTGGTTGTCTGAACTAGGGAATGTTGTGCTCGACGATGAACAGCTGCACTAACTATAGCCACTGACGGAACCTCTGTGGTAAGATGAGACGTCCACAGTCTACACACTTTCCTTCCGTGCACTTCTCTAAACAATGAGTGAGAACGTTAAAACTTAGTGCGTATGCGTGACAGAAGCGGCCCCATTTAATGTCATTGGTGTCTCACCTCAGACTATGCCAGAACACATTTTTACCTTAGTTTAGCGACAGATAAACCAGGCGCCTGTTAGGCTTTAGATGGCCTCCCTGGTAACGAGCACTGGATCCCATTACCGGACCAGCTGCATCATGGTGGCAAACATGGGAGCTAGCCGCATGTCATTATATAAACACATTCTCAGTTTTATATTTTCCAGTGACACGAAGGGGAAAGGTTATATTGAATTAGGCAAGTTGGTTTAATGTGGCGTAGTTGACCATTTTTATCGCCCGAATCTATTTGCTTATCTATAAGTCGACCTTTTGTCCATGCTGTGAATGTTTTTGCCACATATGGCATGAAGCTCTTGCTTTATATTTGGACATTCTTAATAAAATGCAAAGAATCTACAATGCCATTTGTCACTTTCCCACCCCAGTCATATAGCTTCTATGTGTCTTTTCTATAAAGACTTTAATTATAATTCTTCCGATGAATTTTCCAGTGTTACAGAGAATTTTCCAGTGTTACAGAGAATGAGCAGTACGTGACATCTGTCCTCCTATACGGCAGCGAATGTTGGACGGTATCCTCAAAGATGAAGAAGAGGCGGCGGAGATATGATTCTACAGAAGGATGCTAAGGATATCATGGACCAATGATGTGAGCAACGATGAGGTCTTGGAGAGGATGAAAACAAGAAGAAAGCTTATGATTAACATAAGGAAGAAGCAGATGAAATTTCTGGGACTCGTAATGAGAAAGGGCGGCTTGGAGAATCTGATACTAACGGGACGAATAGAGGGGAAAAAGACGGAGGAAAGGAGTGCGTGGCATATATGGCGGGCTTGGGCAGGTGGATGGAGGAGCGTGGGCCGGGGAAGTTGGCAGAAACACAAAACCTGTTGAGAGCGACAAGGGATAAGGGAAAGGGGAGGGCCATGATCGCCTACGTCCTGAAAGAACACGGCACATAAAAAAATAGATTGGGGGTAAGACCTTATCATTTTACAGTTGAAATGGCTAGATGTAACCATAAGTTCTGTGCTAAAAGTTTCTTTTCTAGCACTTCCCGCTTGTGGTACACTCTTTTAGTTTCTTGCTTTTCACTCAAGTTTGATCTTCAAAAATATAAATACAATGTCCATTTTTGTCTTCTGAATACATAATTTCTGTTAATCTATAGTTTTCGGTTCTTAATAATGTTTTTCTTTTCTTATATTCTTTACCTCTCCGTAATAAACTGCGTCTTAGGGGCTTTGTAACCTTGCTTGTGCTGAAGTTATTAAAATAATGTTATTGAGAAAATATAACTCTTACAGAGAAACGCACACACGTATATATATATATATATATTAAAAAGAAGAGGGGTGCCGCAAACGTTTTTGGTTGTAATGTGGATTTATTGAGAAAAAATATTATACTTTGTTTTACATAATTTCACGACACGTGTTTCTGGTCTGGTCTCGCAACCGTCTTCAGGTGAAAGTTTAAATATCTGGATCTGTTTCTATTAAAATAGAAACAGATCCAAGAGCACATAGAGGTCACTAAAACATTAAAAGATTAAATGCCGATAACTACTCGCTGGACAAACCTTAATTGTTTTATGACCCTTCACGCAGAACTCTTCATTGACAATTCTAGAAAGAAAATTCGGATTGCCAACACACAAACAGAATGTCTCATATCGAGAATATTCCACATTGAACATGAAGAAAAATTAATTATTTTTAATAATATGTAAAAATCTCCACTTTCACCTGAAGACGGTTGCGAGACCAGACCAGAAACACGTGTCGTGAAATTATGTAAAACAAAGTATAATATTTTTTCTCAATAAATCCACATTACAACCAAAAACGTTTGCGGCACCCCTCTTCTTTTTAATATACATACTTTTCTCTCGTTGGAACCACTACAACATATTTCCTTTATATATATATATATATATATATAGGTTATGAAGAACTTGGTAATCCGTATGGGTAATCCCAAGGAGAATGAAATCCTGAGAGCTCAATGTAAATCCAGAGCTAATATTTTAAAGAAAAACAGACCACTTTAAGGTATCAATATAATAATTTATTTCGTTTCATTTCATTTTTGGAAGTGCTATCTGATGATCCGGCGTTCTTTAAAAGGACTATGGTGAAATAAATTATTATAATGATACCTTAAAGTGGTCTGTTTTTTTTCTTATATATATATATATATATATATATATATATATATATATATATATATATATATATATATATATTGCTATTTTCTCAATAACGCTTGCCTTCATTTCTGACCACTCACAATGATTTTCTGTTTGATTTCCAATGCATTTATGTAGAAAAATCATTAGCAATGTACTTACATTATACATATAATAACCTTGTTATGTCAGTAATGCTTTCCTTCTTTCCTGACTACAGACAATCCCTTTCTTCCTAATTACCAATGTATTCTTCCATTAAAACCATTAGCAATGCATTTACATTATACATATAATAGCTTTATACTGTCATATAATACTCCATGAACAATGACAATCATTTTTTTTTTCATTTGCAATCCATTGCTTTACTAAAATCATCAGCAATGCATTTACACTGCGCATATAATAGTTTTCTGTTAATAACGCTTGACTTCATTCCTGACTACAAAAAATGCATTTCGACCTGATTTTTAAAATGACAGATTGACAGCAGCATGTCGTTTGCAATGCTATTACTTTGTACATATACTAGCATACCTATAATAAAATTATCATCAATTCGTTCACATTATACATTTAACAGACATATGCTTTCATTAATATTAAATTGCTTACGACAATATCACGTTGAAATACCGGTTCTCGTACGATCACGGAAGTTAAGCAAAGTCGAGCCTGGTCAGTGCATAGATGGGTGGCCGCTTGGAAATATCACGTGTTGTACGCGTGGATATGAGAGCGGTATAAAAAGCTTACGGCCACATCACGTTGAAACAGTAGTTCTCGTACGATCACCGAAGTTAAGCAAAGTCGAGCCTGGTCAGTGCATACATGGGAATGCTGCGTGTTATAAGCATGGATGGGCGTAAGGTATAAAAGAATTACAGCAATATTACGTTAAAACAGCTGTTTTCGTACGATCACCGAAGTTAAGCAACGTTGGGCCTGGTCAGTACCTAGATGAATTGTCACTTGGGAATACCAAGTGCTGTAAGCTATATGGCTGATGTAATGGATAATGTCTCTAAATTTGTAAAAGGATTGTCAAGTTTCAATTTCAGCTGGGTGTTTTGTTATATTCACTTACGTCCAAATACCCTTTGGAAAGGTCTGAATCTACTGCTTCGCCCCCACCTATGGGGTAAATATTAGGAGCTGTATTATAATATCCCTTACAAGCCAAAAATACTTTATGGCTTTAAATAACCTGAAAAAGCTTGATAAGCCGTAAAAACACAAATCTATTCATATTAACTTTAATTCCAAACTACTAGCAATAACATTTTTACAGCTTTTGTAATGTGTTCTCCTTATTAAAAGCAATGAATGACATACGAAAAAAATCGAAGCATAAAACAGGTAGCATTGTTTTTTTTTTATTTGTCATTGGATAACCTTTTTTTTATTTTGTCTTTCGATAACCAACTATTAATCTGATATGTACTGTTGTATACCTTACAGGAAAGGAAGTTATCAATTCCTTTAAATTATACATATAACAGCACTATTCTCTCAGTAATAATCTTGTTAATGTCGGTCCATTTTAACTCACCTTTCTTTTTCTTGAATTTGAATGCACAACATGAAAACTGAGAGCCGAAATTTACTAAAATATATTTTAGCTGACATTTTGCCCAAACTGATTATTGAATTCGATTCTTTAATTATCGAACTTCCTATTTACCAAGCCATTTCCTTTATCATTTCCTATTATAATTAACATCAAGCAATGAACGAAAAAGATAAATGATATGAAAAGCAAAAACTTTGACTGGGTATTTTCAATTTATATTGACTGAACATTTCAGGATAATAGCTCACCACATCATCCTCTTCTTTAGAGTCTGTCTATATTTCTGAGATGAGGTATTATGTACAGTATTTACATTAGTCGGACTATCATCTTTGTCGCCATATTTGTTACAACGTTTCGGCCGTTGTACGCTCCGGCCTTCTTCAGGTGGTTGGAATTTCAAGGACACGTGGCACAGTGGATAAAGGCGTTGGTTAGATCCAGTGACAGACCCAAAGAAGGTGAGTTCAATTCCTGGTTAAGGCAGTGGAGAACTTTCAGAGGGAAAATTAGCAGGAGATAACTGAAAACTGACATCCATCAAACATGGCACGTGGAACTAGAACAGTCTACCCCAGTGATCGAAATAAAGGGTTCAGTTCGAAATTCCAACCACTTGAAGAAGGCCGGAGCGTACAACGGCCGAAACGTTGTGACAAATATGGCGACAAAGATGAGGACAATAGTCCGACTAATGTAAATACTGTATCCTCTTCTTTGTTATGTGTGAATTACCATGATTCATTTGGAAAGATAATGGATGTTATCTTCATTACGTTTTTCAATTCAAAGTCGTCCTTCGAGATTGGCTGTTTCCCAAGGCTAGAGAGCCTAGTCTACTCTAATATTTAATCCATAGCTGGAGGGGTAATGGCGTCGTGCCATAACCAAAGAGGTTAGTGCGAAAGTGAACGCAACAGACCCGTCCACTGGAATTTGAATACGACTTTGAGATTCAAATTTCTATGATGATAACCTTTACAATGCCCGTCCATACCATGTTCGAAGGCGTAAACCTTATATTTTCTGAGGCCGGAATATTTGTGCCATTCTGTACAATAATAATAATAATAATAATAATAATAATAATAATAATAATAATAAAATGGTCTTGACACCAAATGCAGATTCTGTGGTATATATCCGGAAACACTTGACCATCAAGGTTGAATAGTTTTAGTCACTACTGAAAATAAACCGTGGCATGATAGAGTGGGCTAATATCGGCACTGGAAAATGTGCAACTTTTACGAAAATAAAACTTCAAGAAATTGGTATGAACACCCCCTTGACCCAGTTAAAGTGATAAAATTTTTAACAGTTTTATGGGATTTTACAGTACACAAAAACAGAAAAAAAAACAAATAAAACCAATCGTATAGATATCGTGATCAAGGACCACAAAAACTCGTATCTTTGAAGATCTTCAAAAAAAAAATACAAGAATTTTGAAGTGGATGGCACATGAGAACATCAATAATTTTAGTCGTAGTTGGAGTCCTCGGAACGATTGGAAAAGGTTTCAATAGACAAATCGAAGGAAATCCTGGTAGCCCATGCCTGAAAGAAATAATAAAAAAAATGTACGGATAAGTACAACTCACACATTACGAAGAGCTTTATCCATGCAAAATGTGTGTGATCTTCAGAAGATGCCATGAAGCCATTTCTGATTTTAGGTCTCTGGTTGTGACCCAGAAGGAAATGTGTATACAGCATAAATCCAAGGAAATAATAATAATAATAATAATAATAATAAATTAAGTTGATAATTAGCAATGGCCTTGAAAAATTCATAATTTTTCTTTTTCAATTTTCTAATGAATTATAAAACATAGCAATGACTCTGTTTACTCGTTAACTATTTGATCTTAAGAGCTTTAACAAAATACTGCAATGGCAATCATAAATATGAATGCAGGTTGTTGCTTAAAGAAGTAAGAGGGTACAAATGAAAAGATTAAAAAATAACAAAGTTTTTTCCATTTCACTGAAGCAGACAATAAACACCGTGGGAGTGTTATCGACTCCGATACTTACCTTTCTTTCCCCCATTTTTTTTTCTTTAAACGGGGCAGCTTTTTTATTTATCTTTCGTTCTGTCTATCCTCTAAATCAAACAGCAATAGGCTATTGTTTATCTGAGCTCATGGCAAGATGTAACGTAAGCGATAACTAACTACCTAACGAACGAAAAACTGGAATTATAATATGGTGCTAATAATAATAATAATAATAATCAAAGCAAATCCCCAGACATCGTGATCAAAGACCACAAAAACAGAATGTATATTCTTACTGACATGGCAGTCCATTCAGATTGTAATGTATATTTGAAGATCTTCAAAAAGCTATCAAAATACAAGGAGCAAAAATGTGACACATGAAATCATCAATAATTCCAGATGTAGTTGGAAGCTTTTGGATTGACTGAAAAAGGGTCGGATAGATTCATTGAAGGGATTTCTGGTCGTCCATGCCTTAAAGAAATACAAAAGATTTGTACTCACAAGAACAACTCAAGCATTCCTTTATGTGCCATGCGTGATACACGCTTAGGCGATCATGTAGCTTTCGATACATGACTGACGAAGCAGAATTTTTTTCCCGCAATAGATTGCCATTTCTTTCTGTGTTAGACCAGTTGCCATCCAAGGCTATAGAACCCGGTCTGTCCTGCTATTTACCCATAGCTTGGGGTGGGGGAGAATAAGAGGATTCATACCTTTCCCAACGGTATTATCACGCAAGTGAATGTAATGGATCTGACTGGATTTCGAATTCGGCTCTCCGATTCCTCAAATCCAAGCCGATATCCATTACACCACCGTACGAAAACTTTATATATGTAAAATGTGTGTGATCTATGGGTATTTTTACAAATATGATCAGTGGAAAATGTCATGAAGCTATTTCTGATCTAAGGTTTTTGGTTGGGACCCGGAAGGAAATGTGCATACAACAGAAATTAAAGGAAATAATAATAACGATGATAAATTAATTATTTAACGTATTCGTTTAATAAATATTACATGTATTATAACAGGTTGAATAAACAGATTGTAACTGAATCATTAGCGGCCATGTTTGTGTAGATTGAGTCGGTAATTTTGACTACGTCTTTATGAAAGCAAGAGTTAATTAACAAAAGACCTGTGACCCAATCGTGTGTTTGAAATTAACGTTTGAGAAAACAGAATAGACGCCATAAAATTTGGGTTGATACAAATTGCTATTAATGCAAGTGGAATCGACTTCTAACCACACGAAATCATTTTCAGTTGAAAGTCTTTCAAGTGGATGCCATTTCTCTTGTTTTCTCTCGTGTTTACAAATATGCAAGCACAAGATAATAACGGAGAACGCTTACAATTACACAAAAGACTGTTCTTCACTTGGTCTCTCATTCTTCCGTCACGTACGCTGTCTAGTCTTTTACCATTGTTTTCTTTCGTCTTTCACTTTCTATCTCTTTTAGTTCTTTGATTTTATTAGCTCTTTCTCTCTCCATTCTCGTTCTACAGTGGTGTTTTCCCTCCTCTCAAATAAGTCATACCTTTCCTTCTCTTTCTCTCCTCCCCTTTTTCTCTCCTTGTGCTTGAATTGAGGCACTGATAAAAGAGCTTCGTTCTGGCAAATAGACACTTCCGTTTCTGATTGTTAAGCTCTTAATTAGCCATAAGAAAATGGCGCAACCAGCAGAGCATGCGCAGAATGCGTATTGGACAATGAATACGGACAATTTAGATACGCAACCATTCGAACAATACAGAAGATAGAAAAGAAAGACAATTATGATTTTGCTGATGGCTCAAAAGGGTCGGAATAGAAAAAAAAATACGGCTGCAAATAAACAAATGTAAGAAAAAAAATATTATCACTATTATATAAAAAAAAAAAAAACAACTCACAGAAAGGCAGAAAACCAGGAATAGCTAACCTTCAAGCTAAAGATACCCAACGCAATAACAAATTTTAGTAATACACGAAATCTCAGTAATATTTTATACCCTTCATTACACAATGCCGCTGCAATTTTACAAGCAGATGTGCGGATAATCAGATGTGAATATCCAATTTAAACTCCTAGCCAAGTATATGAATGGCAATGTTCATCGAATTAAATAATTCATCAATGATAATTATATGGGGGAGGATTACCATAATGTAGTCTTCCAAGACACCGCTATGTGGCGGTGTTGAAGGACAATAAAAGAAGGGACATAATCTTCATTCTCTCTTTTTAAACTATCATGCGGTAGGTAGAAGCTTTAAAAAGACGCTCGTTCCCAATGGGCATAATACCTTTCCCCTGGGCGACTGAACTTTCACACACACACACACACACACATATATATATATATATATATATATATATATATATATATATATATATGTAAGCAAATATATGGATATAGATCCGACAGTATGAAGAAAATATACTGAAAAAACAAACAAAAAATCCTAATATGCGATTATGCTGTTTTAATGTTTAAAGTCAACGTCGGACGTTGAATTGTATATGGTCTATGTTAAATAAGTTTTATGAATAGGTCCTGAAGATGGTCTATTAGACCGAAACGTCCGACGTTGACATTAAACATTAAAACAGCATAATCGCATATTAGAATTTTTGTTTGTTTTTCAGTATATTTTTTTTATATATATATATATATATATATATATATATATATATATATATATATATATATATATATATATATACCCAAACATACACACACCCAAAAACTTCCTAATATTTAAGTTTTAATGTTTTTCCATTCCGTTTCAGCCGTGTTCACAGTATATTTTCCTTATGTTTTATTCATTTATTAGTTATATGAAAATTACATGAATTATCACATTGGCATGTAAAAGCTTTGGTTTTTCACTGCTTTTGCTTGAGCCAGTAACAGATAGAAGCACTCCGTCTACGCGTCGGAACGCTTCAGGACACTGGCGATCATGACTCTTCACAACTTCCTATCTCGTTTGGATTTTAGCAGTATATCTTCATTTGCTAAAGCTCCCGCCTCCACCCCTCTCCGCCATCCATTCAAATAATCTCGTCATATAAATGGCTCGTTGCCTTCCCCTGTCTCTCTTGCCCTCATATGCTACGTGAGGGTTAAATTTTCCAAGCCCTCCTTCCTCATTATGTGCCCAAGTAAATTCTGTTGTCTTTTCCTGATTCGGATTAAAAAACTTCATTTTGTTGCCATTTTCTTTAAGACTTCTTCTTTGCTTACTCGTTCCAGTGGCTTGCAAAAGTCTACACCTGCTTTGAAAATTTATATATTTTGTATAATTTAACAGGGAACAACACATTTTTTCAAATCCAATGATTGTTAAATAATAAGCAAATTCATCACACTTTCCTTTAATAGAAAAATTACATTTTAAAAATTTCACACTGATTCTTAAAATCATATAACTTAGAAGAATATCTTTGCAAAAGTCTACCCCCCACCAACAGATATACTGTGTTATCACATAGTTTATCATTGATGTCTACAATCCAGAACAATCAAAAGTGGCATGTACGTTCTACCATAGAAAAGAAACTTGGTCAGTCTATTATTTTGCTATATAAGGTGATTTAACTGCCTACAAAATCATCCACCACATTGTTTGTTGGTATGTTGGTCTTTGGACTCTGACTGTAAACAAAAGGTGTCCATCTCGGAAAAGAAAATGGGCAAGCCTCTGTCTCAGGAACTTAAAAACCTTATTATTCAAACGTACAATGAAAATAATGGCTATAAAATGATTGCAAAATCTTTAGAATTGCCCCTAAGCATTGTTAAATCTGTAGTTAAGAAGTGATTAGTGCACAAGACCACTGCTACCTTACCAAGATCTGGGAGACAGAGCAAACTTACCAGAAGAGCAAAATCAAAACTGGTCCGGGAGGCAACCTCCAACCCTAGTGTAACACTGGAAGAGTTGAAAGCTTCAGTTTCCAGTACTGGGACAGATGTCCATGCATGTACAATTTCCAGAGTATTGCACTGATCTGGCTTGCATGGGAGGGTAGCTAGAAAAAAGCCCCTTCTGAAGCCTATGCAAAAGCAAGCTAGGCTAAACTTCGTCAAAAGTCACATGCCATGACCATATGGCGAAAGATTTTGTGGTCAGATGAGACCAGAGTCGAGTTCTTTGTAAAAAATACGAAACGCTACGTTTGGCGAAAAAAATGCACTGCTCACCAACCTCATTACACCGTCCCCACTGTAAAGCATGGCGGTGACTCGATCATGCTTTGGCGCTGTTTTTCAGTTGCAGGGCCTGGAGAGCTGGTAACCATCCAAGGTGTCATGGGCAGTGTCTGCTAGTCTGCTAGAGCTCTGCGCTTGGGTCGCAATTTCAAGTTTTAACAAGATAACGATCCCAAGCTTGTGTCAAAAAGTACTAAAGCTTGGTTTGCTAGCAAGAAAATCACAGTTTTGGAGTGGCCCAGCCAGTCTCCAGACCTCAATCCCATAGGAAATCTATGGCGAGATCTAAAACACCGACGTTCCACATCTAATCTGACACAGCTCGAGAAGTTCTGTCATGAAGAATGGCGAAAACTGTTAGTAGACCACAGCAGCAAGCTACCCGAGGCTTCTGCAGGCTGTAATTGACGCAGCAGGATCATCCATAAGATATTAGCTGAAGACATTCCAAAAGGGGGTGTAGACTTTTGTATAGACATTTTTCAAAATTACCTTTTTTTAAGAATCAGTTTTAAATTTTTCAAATGTATTTTGTGTATTAAATAAAAGTGTGATAGATCTGCTTATTAAAACAAATTATTGGAGCTTAAAATATTAATTGTTCCTATCAAAATACATCCAGTTTTCAAGTGGGTGTAGATTTTTGCTAAGCACTGTACATTCAGGGAATTCTCAGTATCCCTCTGTAGAACCACATTTCTGCTGACTCTATTTTTTTTCCTTCGTCCGTCGTGAGAATGCCCAGCATTTATTGCCATTTAAGATAACGGATAACACACAGCAATCTAACGTTCTTTTCTTTGTTTTTTTTTTGGTATTTTTTTTGTTCCGTTGCCCAGCACCTTGTGTAGCTTTTGAATTGCTTAGATTCTTTATTTGTTCCCTGTAAAAGAAAACGCATAGGTTGAAGACTTTCAACTGCGGAAAACAACTAAAATGATTTGCACATGTTACTCGAACAGAGAATAGTTATAATGAAGATGTTGACTTTTCACAAAAAAGCGAAAGTTTAGGAAGGAAAATCCCCCATCAATACTGGAAAGATCAATAACAGTTAGATATTTAGCTGTCCACCCCCCACGTGGGGTCGCATGTGGCACAAGGCCGTGTTTTACGTGGTCACCCGAGCCCGTAGGCCCGGCCAAAAATATAGCCTTCGACTCGCCTAGGCGAGTTCGAGAGCTGTCATAACCTCCCCAAACGAAACCTTGCCCTTCGGCAAAGCTTCGTCCGGGTTCCTCTCTGCTAATGCAGAGCGTTAGACAGGCGGCGGTTGCTGTAAGTTTAAGATCAATAACAGTTACTGGGCTTGAGTTTAGTTTGGTTTAGTTTGCTTAAAGGCGAAGAATGGAATTAATTTTTTCCTATGCTTATGTTTAATCATTGTCTTTCGTATGTAGTAGTGATCCAAATTCACCAGATAAAGGTTACAAGACCCGAAACATGTATAACAAAATATGCAAAATAAAGTATAATAAAGAGGTATAAATAAATATCTTCTATCCGGGATTAGTTCGCATACCCCTTTAATAGGACAGAAACATATTTTTATTCAATAGTCAATCGACAATATCTCTGCGCCTGACAAATTAAAAGCAAAAACTAAAATTCTCTTGATAATGTTAAAGGGATATTACAATACGACGTTTATTCACATTCGCTTGTAAACGAAAATATCCAGCTTATCAATAAATAAAAGATCGGAAAACATTTTCAATTAATTCAGTAATTCAGAGTTTAAAAACTGAAAGAAAATAAAATTAGCTGAAAAGGTACACTCACCATCCCATAATAGTTGTTATATGAAGTAAATGAAATTTGTTTCGAAATAATTTGAATATTTGCGAATAAAACAATTTAAACGGTAATCGTACATGAACAGAGAATTTGCACTCCACGGCAAGATGAGATGATTATTATTATTATTATTATTATTATTATTATTATTATCATCATCATCATTCGATTTCTGCTATGGACACACTACCTACCAAGTCTGCGGAAAGACCTAAGGCAGGTCGTGGTGTGTTGTTATGGCCACATTTCATGTTAATTTTTTTTTTTTTTTATCTCCGATGAAGTTGCTAGCGTTACATAGACAAAGTTCTCCTTAGTGTGTGTGTGCTGTACTTAATAAGACAATTTTCTGTATGTCTCTTAAGCTGGGGTTTCAGGGATTCTTTCAATGTGTTGTTTTGTTCCATTTTTTATAATTCCAAGTGCACCTATTACCACTGGTATTATTCTTGTTTTCAATTTCCACATTTTTTCTATTTCAATTTCCAGGTCTTTGTAAATTATTATTATTATTATTATTATTATTATTATTATTATTATTATATTTCCTTTGATTTCTGGTGTGTACACATTTCGTTC